TTCGCGGCATTTTTATGAAACGTATCCCCCACGAATAAGAAGATTTTACTGTACTTTGTTTTAAAGGAACGGCTTTGAAGGCAACATTTTACAGCGCCCATCAACCTGTAAAGGTTCCTTTAAAGCAAATCTGTTTTGTAGAGGTTGATGATAGCTCTATAAAATAGTTCGCCGTGTTTCCAAAAAATTCCAAAAATTCCATTAACAGTTATAATTATTATTAATTTGAAATTTACATTTAATTTTATTTATAACTTGGAATTATTATTAACTTGAAATTTAAAAAATGTAAAATTTTTACGTAAATCAATTGAAATTAAAAAAAAATTGATCGTTGTTTTATTTATATTTAATTTGACAATTTTTTATTATAATTTTTTCTTTACATCACCATAGTGTTAACAATTTACCAAAAATTTTACATATCTTTGCATAATTGGCCTATTTTCTATTCTATTTATTTTCAGGTTCATCTCTTATTATTTATTATATCACATTTTATATTTTCATATTATATTACTATTATAATATTATTTTTATACAAATCTGGACAGACTATTTAGTGAATTATTGAAAGAATACCCCGATTCGTGAGACGGTGATGGATGTAGGCTATGCAGACTACTGTCTAAGAGGTTAACCGACCGAATGACGGTGGAAACTGGTCAGTTATTGACAGAGTAGGATGTTTTGAAAAAAGTTTATGCAATTAGATATAGTTAGAGAATGGTAGATAGAAGATGGGCGGTCGGACAAGAATCGCAGAATACATTTGGGGCTGGCGCGAGCGGTAAAAAAAATGACGGGCCAAATACGTGACAACGGAAATGTACGGATTGAGACTGACAGCGAGGGCAAGGTAGGTTTTCCAGGATTTGACGAAGCAGAAAGCCTGTTGATACAAGTGGGAGGCAAAATAGAAAGGTAAGAAGAAGCGACGGACATGCAAGATATAATAGAGGTGACAGAAGAACCGACTAGGGTGCTATGTGTAGAGGATAGAGTAGAAGTAGAAAACCTCGCTAATTTTATGGATCAAATTTATACGGCAGGACCATAGACATCGGTGCAACCGAGGTTGATCCGCGAGATTAAACGGCTTCAAGCAGAAAACGAAAACTTGAAACGGCGCCTCGAAGGAAATAAACGCCATGAGACGAACGAGCACCTAACAGCATAGTGCCAGTAAGAAGGAGAAGTAAAAGTAGTGCTTTAAATACAGCAAAGCAAAGGTAATTGAAATATTGTATAAATACCGTCTCATACACAGAAAGATTCGCTGTATGCCAAAGATAAGTGTGCATTTACGCTTTCTGTATCAATTATTAATTTGCTTTTATTCCATTTCAGATTAAAAAAAAGCATACGCCTGCACTATCGCTTCAGCGGAATGCGATACTTCCGTAGGCCAATGGTAAGATTGTGGTCATCTTTATATATAAAGTTTAGTAATTACATTAATTTACCTTTGCGGATATCAACACACCGCTCACTGTCAACCAGCATACCGCCATATATTTATTTATTTATCTTATCTTATGTATGTCTATATTATACGCATTTATATTATACATTTGTATTATATTATATTAATAAGCGGGGCTTTATTTATTTATAAGTTTTAAGTTACGTCCATAATGGTGTAGGCTTACCGGCGAGCCAGCCATTCAAAACAATCGGCAACGCGCCTATCAGAGTACCCCAAGGGTGATGTGAAAATCGTGATAAGCGACAACAGTATTTAATAAGATTTTGATGCAAGTATGTAATATGTACGTACATGTGGTTGCAATGTTCTTACTTTTCATTAAGTGGTAAAGGCTTTAAAAATATGTCAATTAGCGCTTAATAAAAGAATTGTGCTCTTTATTCACCACGGATCTGACTTCGTGAGTGCATTTTGCTGTACATGCTGGAGGGTTAAAAAAAGGTCACTCTGCGCGGTGCGCAAATGTTAAAGTGTTAATAATGTTTAGTGAGGTTTCGATGTTTAATTCTGCTTAATTTTGATATGTTTAACAATGTTTAATAATGTTTAATGATGTTTAATAATGTTTAATAAAGCAAAATATAAAAAAAATTAAAAATTTGGAGTTGACCCAAACTTTTCGAAAGGTTTATTTTGAAAGTAAAAAAAAGCAGCGTCACCCACACCATATTATAGAGCGTGAAAATTCAGTTCTTTTGCTTTTTTTATCTTTTTACAATTACGGTGATGGATGTAAAAGATTCTATCACGACCTCATATAATGTTCTTACTTGTTTTCTTATTTTATTTTGTTTTGTCGTATTTTCACCATGGATTGGTATTAATAAAAATGTTGTTCTGCGGTTTTGCTTAATTTCAGATAGCCAAACTTGGATAAATTGGAAAGTTTTTCAAGTTTTGAAAAATTCGGATAAAGCGAAAAAATTTAGATAAGAATAATTTAGTGTAAAAATTAAGTATAAATAGTGCCAAAGAAAATAAAGAAATTCAGTTGTGATCAAACAATTCAACTTAGCGTTTAACTCGCTGAAAATACAAGGCGTTCAATCCGCCTGAAGCATAAAGATTAGGGATTTTCTTATGCCGAGACTTATTGGCATTATAAAAGACGGAAAGACTTGGCGCACTGAAGCCGAGCAGCTTAGGGGTAAACTACGTTCCATCATTAAACATCATTACATTCATTACACCTTAGTTTATTCTTTTGATTCTCTAAAACGAGGCATGAATAGAGCCGTTTCTATCTTTTTTACAATCACATATGACTGGGCTTCCAAAACTTATTCAAAATTGTAAACCGAACTTGAAAACGAATTCATCCAAGATGGAAATTTTCTTTTGCACTCCTAACGATAGCGTTTGCATCGGTGACCACGACACCCCAAACTGAAAAGAAAAAGAGAATGCAATTAGACAATGTTTCAATTATTCAAAAAAAAAAAACTGTTTTTAAAGTATGTGGACAAATTATTCAAATTCATTTTCGCGCTGCTTATATAAAACATCATAAAACCACATAAATTAAATTTTTACCAAGTAATCTTGAGTATGTAAAGCCGCTTTTAGTGAATTTCTCTTCAATATCTTTAAGACGACAGCGTATTTCTGGCACGGAACCCTTTGAAATTTGCTAGGACTTTCCACAAAATTCTCTTGAACAATCGTCTGCAAAAATAACATTACATTACATTTATTACACATTAAATTAATTGACTCGTTGACACATTTAACAACTAAATAAACACCATTTGGAAATTCCAATATCACACCTATATCCATGAGTATGGGTTCTTTCGGAGTTTACTTACAAGCTGCTACGTGATGTTTGTTTAAAAAATGCACTAAACTAACTTTTGATTACAACAAATAAAGTTTTTATAAAATGTCTCACCCTTCTACGCATGAAATCTTTTCCAGTTCACAATCTGCAAACATAAAAAATTAAAGTTAGATACCAATAGGAAATTAAATAATGGATTGCGGAATGCCATCATACATCTCATCTTTCATAGAAATAAGAGCATTTTTTATAAAATTATTTATTTATTTGTTTAAAATATGAAATAATATAAAAGCCCTCGATGTCCTTGTTTAATTATATTTAATGTATGTATAAATAAATAAATAGTATACAATATTATTATTAAAAATCAAAATTACTAACTTTATTCGTTTGTAGTATTGGAAATTTGAGATTATAATATTTCTTAACGAAACTATTTTTTTTAATATATGATTTATACCTTAACACTTAACTATTAGATGTTGCCTAAAATGCGTGTATAAAAATAATAAAAAAAATAATTTGTTAAAAAAAAAACTTGTAAAAATATGTGCGAAAAAAAAATTTTAAATGTAAAAATATTAAGTTTGGAACTTTTTGCTTTTATAAGACGAATATACAAACCCAATTTTACTTGCGTTTGACAAAATTCTATCTCTCAGTGTAGAATTTAGGTTGCTGTACATTTCGTATAAGTGTCCCCATAAAAGTGCTGAAAATAAAATTCTATCTCTCAGAGTAAGAATTACTTTTCGATACATTTCTTATGAGAGATTCTCATTCTCTCATCTTTTATCGATGGTAAGTGAATATAGGGTTGTATTTTCTTAGTACTATCAGTTATTGCTGTGAGCAATAGCATTGAAATTTACAACAGCAAGCATGCAATACACAGCACTAGCTTTACAAAAAAATATTATTTTAAAAATCGAAATGAATATGTATCCAAAATTAACAAACTCAAGACGAAAATTTAAAAAATTAGCTGAAGAATTGATCGGGGTCCATGAAAATAACAATCCTAGTTAACAATTATCCAACTTATCTTGCTCATTACTTATTCAGCGGTTAGAAAGCTGTACGAGCTCCTCATGTAAATTTAATGATATGGCCAGTTACGGTCTGCGGTATGTGGTGAAACAAATGCAACCGCAACACTTTGTAACGCCCGTGCGAGAAAAAGTTGAGTTAAATGCTTTAGAATCAGCAGAATCATCAGAAGTCTCGTCAACGGTCTTTGACGTTGGCGTTGCTTTGCAAGGCCTTTGCAATAAATGTGTGGCGGTACTTGTTCCATAGAGTTAAGCTAGAAGTTCAATAATATGACAAAGAAACCTATTGATATAGACTTTGGTGAAATTGCTATAGCGCTTAAATCTAAAATCTGCAACGTGGGGTCTTTAAAGCTGTGATAAAGCGTGATGAATACTATCCTGCATGGATCGGCATTTTTTAATAAAGGGCAGCGAAAAACCGGTAGCTTCAATATAACTACTTTTTTAAGTGACAATGTAATTACGTGTTTGGTAAATTTTTGAAAGTTAGCACTGAATGAAAAATAAAAACAAGCATCTGTATCGTTATGAAAATAAAGTTTAGAAGTTTTTATAAAAAGAAAATTTTAACAATTTCGCTTTGATATTCAGCATTTTTTGATTTTTTTTTTTTGGTTAAATTGCTTTTAATAAATTATTCTCGCTTGACATTATATCGCTACATTCACTTACTATGTATATAAAGTCCATTCTAATCGATGGTTTCAAATCTTATGGCGGACAAATAGAAGTTCATGGTTTTGATCCGGAGTTTACGGTTATTACTGGCTTTGAATGTATAAAAAGCTCAGATATATTAGATTCCATACGTTTTGTATTGGACATTATGAATCTGGGGCAAACGACGAGCACTTCGTTGAAACATTTAATTTATCAAAATGGTCAAGCAGATATAACCAAAACCACAGTAACTTTGATATTTGACAATACAAATCCAAGCCAATGTCCAGTAGGTTATGAAAAGTGTCGGGAAATATCAGTACGACGTGAATTTTCGTTAGACGGTAAAGATAAATATTTGATTAATGGCAGAACGGTGCATCGTAAGAGATTAGCGAAATTTTTCACATCAATACGCTTGAACATTGAAAATCCGAACTTCCTAATAAGAAACGAGTGCATAACAAAAGTACTAAATAAAAAGCCAACAGAGGTTAGTTGCAAAAGCAATTGTATTTTTACAACAGACTTTTAATATATTTTTGTTGTTCGTTTATTAAAAAAGATTTTAGCAATAATTGAAACAGCTGCCGGTATAAATATATTAGAAACTAAGCGGGAGACGGCAACAAAGCTCATTGAAAAGAAAGACGCGAAAATCCTTGAAATTAATACCCTTTTACGTAATGAAATTGAACCTAAACTGGAGAATTTAAGACGTGAAAAATCGGCTTACATGGAATTCCAAAAAATTTGTCGTGATATTGAATGTTTAACACGAATTCATATATCATTTTCTTATTTAAAATATAAAGAAGCTTTAAAGTCGACTGAGGTCAATAGGGAAAAATTAAGCGCCGAAATTGATGCTGCTAGACAACGTATAGCTGAAAATGAGAAAGAACGTAAAGAGATTAAAGAGAATTTTAAAGAATTGAAAAAAATAATTGACCAAACTAAAGGAGAAGAGATGAAGGAAATCAAAGTTAAGCTGGAATGCGAGTTAGGGAATAAGGGAATTGTCGAAGGCAATTTGAAAACAAATCAAAATATTATTGATCAAGAAGAAAAGAAACTGAAAAGCATAGTGAAAATGATGGAAGATGATGAAAAATCGCTTCAATTGAAGGGGAAAGAAATGAATAAACTTAAGAAAATATTTCAGAATTTAAAGAAGATCGATTCAGCGGATACCTTAGCTTATGAGGATGCTCGAAAGAAATACGAAATAGTTATGCGGGAAATTTCAACTAATCAAGATGGATGTTCACTGCAAGATCAGGCGAAAACGGAGATAACGATAATGTCTCAAATGAAAATCAAAGATATCGATGACAATTTACCGGACGTCAAGAGCGAATTGAAAAAAGCCGCCGAAGCTATGAAAAAGGCTAACTTGAAAGCTAAGAAATCGCGTAACAACTGGAAGAAACATAAACAGGAATGCAATATTCTGTCTATTGAAATTAAATCCTTACAAAGAGATATTACTCATGCAAAAGAGCAACGTTCCAGTTTAGAGAGTAAACTCGCGAAACTAAAAGCAGAGCAACAGGATTTACGTAATAAGAACGCAACTGCTACAGCAAAGATAACTGAATTGCGGCGTAAGGTAAATGAACAAAAGGACAAAATCTATTCTCAAAATAAAGAACTTAGGTGTGTATATAACAAACTCAAACAGGTGGAAGAACGGCATAAAGAATTGCACTTAGAAATCAAAGGAAAAGAATCCGAACCTTATAAGGTGGGCTCGGACAGTAAAGATTTACTTCAAAAGATGAAGAATCTTTCAACAAAATATCCCTGGATTAATGAAGATGAAGAATACTTTGGCATGAGAAACTCCCGTTATGATTATTGCAAGGAAGATCCTATAGAAGCTGCACATAAATTGATTGCTATGAATGAGCAAAAAGATCAAATGGAACATAGCATTAACCCGAGAGCTACAATACTCTTGGCACGCGAGGGCAGAAACTATCAGAAATTTATAAGACGCCAGAAGATAATTGAACAAGATATAAGTAAAATGAAGAATGTTATTTGTAAAATGGATGAAAGTAAGCGAGAGAAAGTTGAAAAAGCTTGGATGGTTATGGATGGAAATTTGAATAATATTTTTAGCACCCTTTTGCAGGGCGCACAGGCGCGTCTAAATCCCGTTAAAGATAATGATCAATTAACCGGGCTAGAAATTAAAGTTGGCTTCAACGGTATATGGAAAGAATCACTTGATGAGCTTTCTGATACTGAGCGGCCTTTAGTGGCTCTATCCTTCTTATTAGCACTATTAAAATTCTCCCCAACTCCATTATGCATTCTTGATGAAATAAGTGCCGCCTTAGATACGCAGAATATAAGCAATATTTTGAAGGCCCATTTCACTTCATCGCAATTAATCATTTTTCCTCTAAAGCAAGGCAGTTCCATCAAGTGTGCTGCATATAACTAAATTTTAAGAATGACTGCAAGCTAAAAATGTCGTCAAGGACAAGCAAGCAAGACAAAGACAACAAATTCCTTCTCTTTCTTCGAATAATTCCTTTTAGTATTCTTTGTGAGATTTAAATGGGAAAAGCAAAAAGACCAAATTATAAATATATAAATGGCTAAACATAATGCATTTTATTGCGAGCGTAGGAAGCTAATTAATTGCATTAGTCTTCTTTTATTTTTAGGAACGCAAATATCAAGATCGGGGATTACGGGCAAATGCTTCGCAAAGCAAAGATGCGCCCGTCTGCACTTTAAATTCTCACCCAATAAACGCAAAGTTAACGAATCAAATGTGAATGCAAATAGTGACTCAAAAGTTTAGAAGTAGTCGCCAACTTCAGTTTACGCTGGTGTACAACGGATAATAGCGATCTTCTGCACCGAAACAGTGCAGATTGACTTGATATTTTTCTTGCACAGACAGTGGTCAGTGGTCGTTATCCCTGGGGGATTAGCAAACAAATAGTTTGAATACCGCATCCGGCAGCGCCTACATTTCATTTCATTTGGTGACAGACATTGTCTGTCCAGCCCGGAATTCAAAATGATTACGCGCGATGGTTTTATTTTGTTTTACATCTCAATCTCACACACGATTATAGTTCGTTTTACGTCTCAATCTCACACACGAACTATAATCAACCGTAGGCGTAAACTGCATTAAATATTATTAGTAGAAGCGGATTTCCCCTCCTGTGAAATTAATATAAAAAAATTGGCTAATACAATAACCCCAACAACTACCACAATTACATGACTCGCAGTACGTTATCTAACCATTATATGTGTGAGACTTCCTTTCTCTTCGCTTCTTACTTAGAAGTAACGGTAACAGTTGTATAAATGTTGTAAAAAAATGTAAGAACATTATAGTCGGGCAAAGCCGACTATTACTCGTTTTACTCCGCTTCGCCTAGCACAATTGTTCGCCCGTTTTGGTAATCACACATTAAAATTTGCATATTATTTTCATGCAAGAACATACTTTTTGTGGAGGCCCGCTGAATGGCCACAAGTTAAGTTTGCACGTCCTACGTCATATGACTTTCCATCATAAAAAACTAGAAATTAGACTTTATTTCCATATAAAGGTTTGCTTCTCACGATAAGCCCTATATGCATACTATGGACCAATTTTCTTTATGAAATGTTGAAAAGTAAGTCTTTTTCTGAAGGGCGATTATTCATGAGAAATCCTATTTGGAGTGGAGTCGAAGAAGTAGGTCTATGCGGTTGAAATTTGGTCCACATTTTATATATTACTATTATCAAATAATAAAAAACTCACGCAAGTAAAAAATAAAAATACTTTGCAAAAACAGAACTTTTACCGGGTGCCAGTGATTTATTAAAATCGTCCTCATCGTAAGTCGTCGGACGCAGGGAGAAGTGTTCACAAACGCCATTGAATTGGCCGAAGAGGAAATAGAAGATAGTAGTGACAATACTTTTGCCAGTGCCTTGTATCGCAGTCCAACAGTGGAAAACACCGATTTGATTTCAGTCGAGGATGATACTCCTTTGCTTTCATTTGAAGATGAATCACAGCCCATTGAACATTATCCAATCAACAAAAAGAAAAATTCCGAATCTGTAAAATATGTAGATAATTTTCTCGAGTCCTACATAGCCGAAGATTCAACAGAAGAGGCTAAAGAAGCCAATGAATTGCACACCATGACAACAAAAACTTTATCTGAAAAGAACTTATTAACAAAGTCAGGAAAAGATGCGGTGCGAACATAAAACTAGACGGAATTACCTTTAAAGAAGTTGAGGATCTGCGCAACATGGATGCATTGATAGCTCGAAGTAGCTAGATTGCCACTATTACATATATCAAATTTATTTTCCAATCGTAGTTAGATCAAATTCAGTATTTTTTCATTACTTAAGCCATTTTCTGGTAATTCAAGATTGTAATAAAGTTTTCCACAACTTTTAAATTTCATTTTTAAAATTTTGATTTGTTTTTTATGCCGTACAGAAAGAAGTTTTGCATATATGTACAAGTAAATAAAAGTATACAAGTATATACAAGTTTGACGCCAACACTTGTGTTGTGCCTACATTGACAATACAAATCCAAGCCAATGTCCAGTAGGTTATGAAAAGTGTCGGGAAATATCAGTACGACGTGAATTTTCGTTAGACGGTAAAGATAAATATTTGATTAATGGCAGAACGGTGCATCGTAAGAGATTAGTGAAATTTTTCACATCAATACGCTTGAACATTGAAAATCCGAACTTCCTAATAAGAAACGAGTGCATAACAAAAGTACTAAATAAAAAGCCAACAGAGGTTAGTTGCAAAAGCAATTGTATTTTTACAACAGACTTTTAATATATTTTTGTTGTTTGTTTACTAAAAAAGATTTTAGCAAAGATCTGTAGAAGAAGCTGGAATGACTTATGACTTTCTCACCAACCTAATACTCAACCAAAGCATTCAAAACTAGTGCGATGGGAAAAATTAGGGGAAGTCGAAAAGATGAAAAAAAGAATTATGTCAATATGCAGCAATCACAGCAAATTCAAAATTCAAAATGTTATGAAAAACAAACAATAAAAGCCATTTATTTTAAAGTTGAAATATATTAATCAAATTGTTTTATTAAAGTGGTAAATGGTCGTTGCCAAATTATGGATCAATTTGTACACAAAAATATATCAGATATTACATATTACATATAACTAATTAATTTTCTTAATACCCATCAAGAAACAATAATTTGAAACCACATGTGTGGTATGTAAAAATTTTTTGTAAAGCAATATCGTAGGGAACCGATCGTTTTTTACCACTTGGAAGTTCTTAAAATACATCGAAATGTCATTAATTAAATAAAATGCGAAAAAATAGCAAAACTAATTTTAAGGAAAAAAGATATCGACACGTTTTTAAATTCAAAAAAAACCAGTTCCGTTGCTTTTACACAATGTAATATAAAGTCGTACTTATTTCTTTGAACTAGTATAATTACGACTTAAGCCCGAGAGCCGCCCTCTCTTCGGTCTATTGACGCCTGGTGTACTAGTCGTAGTCTCAATTTGTCGCGAGGTTCTTTCCGGTGTCTCACAAAGTTGGGGGGATGGCCTATAATTATATTTTGGGTTTAATGACAATGATAAAAGCCTTTTGCGACACAGCGTTGGACCAGCTGATGCAAATTTGCTGTTGCTGGGAGCTTCGTCCAATTTTATTTCTTCGCATATCGCTTGCACGTCTGTTTTTTTGGCTATTTGCGCACTGCTGTTTCCAGTTTTTCCAAACTTGGACTGCATACTTTTAATCGACATTCGAGCTTTTATGTCTTTTAGTTCAGTTTCATAATTCGTTTCTTGCAAATTGTCTTGAAATTCTCTTAAAATATTTTGCACGGATCTTTTGCTCTCTTCCGATATGGAGATTGTTTTACCATTCGCTGTTTGGAAACCAGCAAAAACAAGCGAACTTTCCGGATTATTCACCTTGCCCACTTCATCTCGATTCACTTTCCTTTTCATTTCTTCCGTTTCGTTTTTATTAGAAATTTCACCTACGCCAACTGCGTCTTTATCTACTCCCAACTCCGGCCGTTCACCGCTAGCTTTTTGGGTTATCTGCTTATTTACTGGGAACTTAGACGTATGGGGAAAATATATATATATTTTATTTTCAGATTTAGGAACGACTTTGCAACGGGATGCCCGCCAGGTCCCCCCAAGCGCACCAAGCGCGCCAAGCGCCCCAAGCGCTGCTCCGAAAAAAAAAAAAAGGCGCCGGCGCAAGAAACGAGGGGCGCCGTTTCGATTGGAGACCACAGATTTACGCCACAAAATAGAGCGTCTGAGGCGCCGCAGAAATAATTATGGCAACTCAAACACCTCAAACAAACGGCGCAGAAACCGAAAAAGCAAACAAATAAATATCCAAATAAATATGTAATGTGGCATTCGATTTTACCCTATTTTCAAAAATAAAATG